AATTGCACCCGATTGTATTGTGTAAAGGTATATTCGAATGTAATGTTCAAAAGTATATTCAATTGAATTGTGCAAAATTATAATCAATGGTACTGTACAAAACTCACCATTTCTTATGTGCGTACTTTTTATAGTCATACGGGGGTGAATAAAAATTATATTTTTACATATTTTTCGTAAAATTGAAGCAGGAGGGGGTGAAAAACTAAAATTATTAATTGTGGTATATTTTCAATAAATACGATTTATTCATAAAACAATGTATAACACATGAATTTAAAAATTTTTGTTCAAAGCATACAGTTACTTCAACTTCAGAAAGAAAAACATTGAAAAATTCAATCATTATAATATTTTATTGCGCAGTGTTAAGAAAGTTCAAAATTAAACAAAGCTTACAAATAATGGAAGAAATATTCATTCGATAGCTGAAAAACTTTTCAAATGTAATAAATAACAGTACAACTTAGTTCTAAAAAATAGAAATTAATGTTTGGCGATTTCTTCATCTATATAAATCTATTTTAAAAATGTGTCACTGAATGTATATATATTTTCCAATCAATGCGAGACTAAAATAGGATAGAAAACACATGATTAAATTGAGCCAATTGCTAAGCATTTTTAATTACTAAGAAACATTAATGCTCTTGTTGATAAATCATTTAGATTTCAGATTCTTTAGCTCAAAACCTGATTATGCTTATAATAAGAATATTTTTAAATTACATTAATTAAGTATTAACAGTTAATTTTAAGTATTTATAAGAATAAAGTAATGAAAGAAATATTTGCCGAAGAAATGTTATATCATTTCTTTTGATTATCATTTAATATTTTAGAATAGAAAATGCCGAATAAAGAAATTAAAATAGATAAATTCGAATTGATATAAATCGGATATTTAACTCCATTATGTAAAAGCGAAAGGCTATTAAAAGTGTAATATGCGCAATTTTCCCCAACGTATTTATTTTTATTAACATTGAAAACGAATTAAGAGATTTAATTAAAATAAAAATTTCCAAGCTAAGTATTGTTCAAATTAAAGCAATCAGGGAAAAAAATTAGCGACTGATTGAGCTGTTAGCTTAGAGAATTCACAATTCTAAACTAATTTATTCCGGTGACAATACTCAAGAGTATGAACAAAATGAAAATAAAAAAAAATACAATTTATACATCTAATTAAACTAATTGTTAGATAAAACCCGAAACGGGACATGGAATCGTATATAACTAAATCGTTCAAGTGAAAAATTTTAGCTAGCTTTTGTAATAAAAATAACAGAAAAAGGAGTTTTCAAATGTAGAAAGCCTGATTTTAGCTGACTACTTTGAAACAAAAGCAACAAAATACCCGATGCTAATTTAGAAACTTGGAGAAGTTATAAAAAAGAGCTATTTTACTCGAATGTAGCGATTTCGAAAAATAAATACAACAGCAAATAAAAATCGAGAACGTAGAACGGGACATTTTCAATTTCGCTCCCTGCTGAACTTGTATGTTCTGGGAGTTACCAGGTTTCCATGGCAACGTCACGAGCCTTATCTTTTCCTTTGGAGATGAAACTTTAGGCATGGATTACGAAAAGTAAGGGAAATATTTGCAATCCGAAGAAAAAAAAATAAGGGGTTGGGAGTATAACCTTTAGCTATTTTATGTGAGTGATAAATATGGACTTTTATGTGACCCTGCCTATATCTATAAAAAGCGAGGTCGTATTTCAGAAAAAAGGAAAAAAAATATTCAAAATTCCAAGTAATTTATGGTTATTGGTTAAGGAGTACCTTATAACACTTTCGCGTGATCCCTATTCCTTTGAAATACCCATTTTAAATGAATTATTATTGTGTTTTTATGGGTTTTTTACTTTGAGAATCTCCACTTTAAACCAAATACACATCAAATAATCGTTCATCGTGTGTAGTTTGCAGAAATTCATTTTTAAGGAAGGCTATTTCGTATATTTATTTTATTGTGTTTATGTTAGATTAAATTTTGGTCCAATATATAAGACCAGTACTTAAAACTATTTTAAGCAATATTTCGAAGATCTATCATAAAATAAACTTTTTATTGAACGTTTAGTTTTATTGTCTCCTTCTGCGTTATTTAAATTATTTCATTATTTGTAAAAACTCTGAATAATTTTCAAACAAGGGTCTTCCATATAAAAATGGCTATCTTAGGATTTTATACTGTTTGCCAATATTAATAACATTACAATTTAATAATGTTTCAATACAATTATTTTTTACATAATTCTAAGACGCCGTAAATACTACAAAAGAATTTTTATAAAATTATTTTATAACAATACATGTTTTTATAAATACAACTTCTGGTATTAAATTATTTCTAGTATTAATTCTGGCATTAAAAACTAAAATATTTGGCATTTAAACCATTTATTTGGTAAATTTTCCGTTTATTTGGAAACAGTTTACTGGAAATTCAAATTTTCGAAATTAGAGTTATTATTATCATACATTTAATACAAAATACAAAACTGAAAAGGGAATTTAACTAATAAAGGATGTCCATGTCATGCTCTGAAGTATCATGATAAAATTAACAATTTTTACCACGTTTATAAAGTTTTATCACATATTATTAAGCGATATTTTAGCGTTAATTTTTCCAAAATCCCTACCAAAGAGTTTTGGTAAAATTTACGGACATTATTATATTTTGATGCTTCAATCGAACCAAAAAAAAAAAAAAAAAANAAAAAAAAAAAAAAAAAAAAAAAAAAAAAAAAAAAAAAAAAAAAAAAAAAAACGGTAAATAACATATTTTGATAGTTTTGACTATACTTTATTTCTTCGTGTACGTTACCAAAAGCAGTCTTGATGTAGTGATTTTTATGTGTCAATTAAATCGAACATCAATAAAGCTTTATCGTAAAGAAAGAAAATGTCTATTATGATTTGTTAGAGAAGTTTTTATTACCACACATCGTAGTTAAAAAATGCAAAATGAAAAAGTATATTTATCCAAATATGCAAAATTATAATCACTTATGATAAAGACATATTTTAAAACTGATTAAAAAAAACTGACTATTAAAACTGACATTACTATTCAAAACTATTAAAACTGACATTACCAAAGAGTTTCGGTAAAGAAAAAAATCCGAGCTGATCTGCTTTACCTTAGAGCAAGAAGAACGGTAAATTTGATCATATTCGGGCAGTTTCTTAGTACAAATTTTTCTTACGCTTTTAAATGATTTGGTAACTCATGCCCTTCAATGTTTTCTAACGTCATCCCTATGATTCAATGTTTTCATATAAAAAAGAATACATTTTTGATTTCCAGGGGCTACATTTAAGCATCTTCATTATGATCCTAATATTTTTTTAAAAGGCAATAACGCGGGAATTTTTTGACAATAACTGAATAAATTCTGATGTTATTTTCGTGAGCGTTATTGTTATACAGTGTTTTATTGTTTTACTTGGTTGATATATTGTTTTACTTAATACCTTCTATTTAGTTCATCTATGTTTCCTTTTTTTAAAATTAATTATCCAAAAATACAACTAGATATACAGAACACTTCATTTACTTTTTAATTTTATTCAGCATAGGTAATCTTATTCAGTGATTCAGCATTTGCCATTTCGCAAAAATACATGCGTTATAAATTATAAAAAAATTAGTTTCATTATTTTATTGTTTTTCGTCTTAATATTTTCATTAATTGTATTTACAAAAAAAGAAACATTATGACGTTTTGAATAAAAAAGTTAATTTATGAAAATCAATTTCAATTCTAAATCAAATTCTTAAATATGTTGTTGTAAAATTTGTTTCGCTTACCCCATTTCAAAAATGTACTTTATCACTATATATATACATATATATATATAACTTTTTTCAAGGNTATATATATTATAGTTTTTATCACTGGTATATTACTCTGTACTAAGAAAAGAGCATGGCCAAAACTACTAGAGTAACAAAAAATTTACTGTGATTCTGGCTCTATGGCAACAACAAAAAGCTCGGTAACTTTTCCCCAAATCCTTTGACATTGATTTTGATAAAACTAACAATAAAATTTGGTTTATAGTATATAATTAAATTTGGTAAATGTGGTAAAATTTGTTAACAATTATTTTTATTAAGTGTGTAACAATTAATTTAATTGTTATTTAATCACATTCGAACAAAACAGTCAAATAACCATAACGAAGATGGTATTCAAACAGTTAACTGTGAGAAAGACCATTGATTAATTACTCTCACCTAATACGGTTAAACAACCAGAATTTTATCGTACTAACTTGGCCCACTTAATGAAGCCACTTATTATATGATTATGAGTATATTATATGATTATGAGTATACTATATGATATGATATGATTATGAGTACATATTATAGCCGAGAGGGCTGATCTGTTAATCTCATGACAGACAGAACGAGGGTTCGAGTCGCAGTGTTGACACCAAAACAATTTTTGCATTCCCTTAAACACCTTAATTCATTAAACACTTTCTCCATTCTCTTCAACAAAGGAAGAGCTTCCAGTGTCCCACTATCCACAATTTGTGACCCTGGACTGTTAAAATATGATACTCTCATTCACACATAGATGGCAGCCCTATGAAGCTGGCAAACTGTCCCAAATGTCCAGTTAAACTTTTTTTTTACAGTTTTCAAACCATGCTATTTGTAAATGGTAAAAAATCGTATAGTTTTGTATTCATGGTTTCTTAACAATATTGGTTATATACGGTTTTAAAACTGTGGAGATAAAAAAAAGGTTCTTTAAGGTAAACTTTACTGTTAATTGGATGAACAGACTGATGCCGGTTATTTTATCGTATCTTAAGAATGAGAACTCTAACGGTGCATACGGTGCAGTAATTTAACCAGAATTGTTTCTTCGCATGTATAAAAGTAAGACAGCAGTTTTTTAGTAAAACCATCAAAATAATTACTATAAATAAACCTTTTATAATTTGAATAAAATTGAAAAACTTACCTTCTGCGTTTGTTGTTACTGAGAGTTCAGAACTTGGTAGGCTTTGTCCAATGCCGTTTCTAGCATTAACATAAATGTGATAAGTCGTGACAGGTCTCAGACTAGCTATTGTTGCACTCGTGTCCGCACTTGACACTACAACTCTCTTTGATCTTTCATCAGGCCATTTATCTATAAAACACGAAAGGTCAGATATAAAAATAAACGAAATAAGGTATATATAATATCAATTTGCATAGACTTTAAGAAATTTCCCTGAAAAAATGGTTACATAAAAATTTCTTTAATTGTTATTTTTACACATTCAAACAAAGCAGTCAAATTACCATAAATAAGATGGTATTTAAGCTGTTAACTAAGAGAAAAATCTTTTATTAACTGCTGTCACCTAATAAGGTAAATCAACCAGAATATTATCGCGTCAACTAGGCCTACCTTATGAAGCCATTTGTATTATAGTCAAGAGGACTAATATGCCAATCTCAAGACCGAAACAACGGGGGTTCAAGTCCGAGCAATGACACCACAATATTTCTTGCATCCTCTTAAACACATGAAGAGTTTATCCAGCTTCTTGCACTACCTAAAAGTGACCTCTGACAAATAAAATATGATGTTCTCATTCATGCATAGATGGCAGCACCATAAGGCTAATTAACAGAAAAAAGTTTAATATTTCCCATCTCTTACGACAGGTGACACAACCAGATAAACTAATTATACCACATCCCACTGTTCATCTGATAAAACACAACTCAACAACAACTTAACTCCAATGCCCATCAACGAAAAGCAAACCTTCAATGTCCAGTTAAATCTCTTTTATACGGTTTTGAAGTCAAGTAAGTTATAAATGGTTTTAAAAAAAAACGTACAGTTTTGCATTTAAGGCTTTTTAACCATGCTAGTCGTAAACAATTTCAAAACTGTAAAGGTGAAAGTGCTCTTGACCGCAAACTTTACGGTAAATCGGGTCAGACTGCTGCTAGTTATTCCACCGTAATTTTAGAATGACAATTCTAACAAAGTAGATTGGAATGTTAACTGAACGTGTTGGTCTTGTATACAATTTGTAATTTAACTTAAATCACACAATTTTGCCAGAATTTTAAGATTAGATATTTTACCATTTGACAAGTTGTTGAAGGTATGCAAAAGGTGATACGTCTGTTCAAGAATATGATTGATTAATTTGTTACGGCACCAGAAACTATATCCTTCTAATTTATCTGATTTAAGAAAAAGTTAAATTTATTTATCAAAGAAATAGAAATCGAAAATGATTTTTCTTAAATTTACATAAAAATTAAAAATGTTTTAATATGAATACATTTATCTTCTATAGAATTCTAAATAATTAGAGATAAAAATACTAAATCACTCAATTAATTTACTTCATCAACCAGCATTGTTCCGGGTTTAATGTTTCTTTTACATGAAATACTTCAATAAAACATGATTTAACAGTAAAAATGCAAATCCAAACTGAAATACAGATTGAAATGCAAACTTATTACTTAGCTATTATTTAAAAGAAAGTTCAAATTTTTTTTGTTATTTTAATTCATGGTGTTAGCAGTTTTAATGAAAAAAAATCTAAGTAAATTCGGTTTCCCTTTCTTAGCACATATGTATCACACAAAATAATTTTATTTAAAATATTTTTGTGGAACATACACAATAATACCATACCATGCTACTAATAAAATATAATACATACAGTTCTACTGATGAAACATGGCTTCACAATACGCAGTAACACATACGCAAAAAAATCAGAATTTTACTTTTAATAAAAAAGATATAATTTTCAAATAAATTAGCATATTTGAAACTCAGATTTTCATCTTCGCTATTTTCCGGTTGAAAATAAGTAGAGATTTTACTATATAGAGTTACGATAATTTAAGTAAATTTTTGTAACGAATAGATCAAGTGAATGTTAAAAATACTTTTCGTCAAATTAATCATAAAATACTCATTTAAAACTGTTTTTGCTAAAAAGTATGTCGTATTTTAGTATAAAAATATTCAAAATATTCAGTTTTAAGAATTAAAATGAATAAATGGAATAAACGAACATTCAAATAAAAAAGTTGTTTCTAATATAAATATTTAAATAAAACATGAAAGAAAAATCTGAGTTTTATTTTAAACTCAGATTTTAAACTCTATTTAACTATTAACTCTATATCTATTAACTCTATATTTTAAACTCTATTTTAAATTTAACTTAATTATTTTGAACATAATTAAGTGAAAAATTCTCAATTTTAAAATAGTTAAAATTCGAGTACTAATGTTGTTAGAAATGAATTTTCTTCAGTTTTAATTACGCTGAATAAGTCAAAACGTTTGAATAAGTCAAAAATCTGTTTCGTATATATCTATTTAGTGTGTAAAATTTCAATATAGAATGAGAAAAAAATATTCTGTGCATTTTATTGATAATGGAGAATTTTTTGTAAAAATAAAAAAACCCGTTTGAATAGTAGCATTTATACTTTGACAGATATGCATTTGATCGCTTTAAAAATATACTTTGTACATAAATCCAATTACAAATCTTACAATAAAGTTTTAAAATGAGAAAATAATCTCATCTACATTTCCTAATGATTTAGGGAATAATTTCAATTTTCTTGCTGAACTTCTAAATGCTCTTGAAATCCTTAATCGCCAATGGGTGGGTTGAGAAGATTACTTTTCAATAGCTTCAAGTGGGGAAACGCTTTGCCTTAATGAACTTGGGGAGAATGATGCCAATGGCACTTAATAGCTAATTACGCTCTTCATAATAATGATGCTATTAAATACTTATAGTTCACGATCAAAACTTTAAGACACTCAAGTAGCGAATTTGAAGTTTAAGATACTTTCTGCACAATACTAAGAAAAGAGGAAATCATTTTGAAACTTTTCTATTTTTTAAAATATAAATCTTAATTTTTAGCTTCTTAGTTTCGTATTTTATGCTTATTACGAGGGCAATTAAATATTTAATTAAGAATGAAATATATCCGTTTGCATGGTAATGAAATATGCTTTCGTTATGTAATGAGTTTTAGCTTGAAAGGGCTTCGTTGAAGGTTAATATTTAAATAATTACTTTTGAATTTGTGATCAAAAGTATTAAATGAAGTAACAATTTATGTCTTACAAAAGAAAAATTTCTCTAAGTGTATTGATGTATGTTTTATTGGTATTATAATTTTTCGATATTGATAAACGGTATCTAAAAGATATGTATACTGAAATTATTGTATTTGTAAGAAAAATGAGCCAAAAGAAATATTGGAAGACCTACAAATAGAAATTTCCTTTTTTTGTCAAAGATGATCAAGCGGCTTTATGATGATTATTATTCAACATCATAGTACTGAGTTATCTATTAAGTATTAAGGAAATATAATTGATTTAAAAAAATAATTCAGAAAATAGTTTCTGATTGAATCATTTCTAGCTTTGAAGGCAAAGTTCTAAATTATTAAAACAATGTTATTTTCTAAAACATATTAAAAATAAGGTTTTTCTCAAATAAATCTTATGCGCGTTTAATTAAATTTTGTCATATTTAGCTGTCATTTTTATTTAGGATTTGAGTGTCAATTAATTATAAGATTTAATATTGGCACTAACCAATTGTCCTCAAAATATATTTCTATACTTTATCCGAATGAAGCAAAAGCAATCACTCTAAACAAATATTTAAACTCTTAAGTAAGCTACCAAACAACTAACAAAATGTTTATTTTTACCATTTTAAGATACTATCGGCGCTTAAAATTTTGTCGATCTTTATGATTTCGTTAAACAGCAATTGTGATATGCTTTTAAAGTATCAAATGTTTTATAAATGAGATAGACTCTTAATCTATCATTTATGTATTATGTATAGGCAATGTTTAATAAATATGTAAATTTAAACACAATTTTAATCAGGGAATCATTGAAAAGATTTGTATTGATTCAATTTTAATTTACTACATTGATTGATCATATTCTTCAAAATAACTAATAAAATAAAATAAAATAAAATAAAAGCAATTTTTAATTTAAACGGAATTATTTGAAACCTAATATACATGCAATTTCGTTTTTGTGTTTATCAATTACCTACCATACGTATTTGATGCCTAACGTAATAAATTTAAACGCTATGACATAAAAATTACAAACTTAAAAACCCATAAAAGTTGTAAAATATAGCAATCATGAAGCAGAAAAGAATAATAAAAGAGAAAGTATGGCTTTCAGGCTAAATTAATAAGTCAAAAAGTCATAGTAATGGGTGCTAGCATTGGAATAAATTATTTTTTAAACTTTGATAGAGATTGGAAACTTACATTAAACATGCAAGCAATTCTTTACTTTTGATGTTAAAAAAAGGTGGTGTTTTTATCACATAATCACAAAAAAAAATTTTGCAACATGGTGCTTGAACCATCTAACTAGTTAAACATCAAAAATGAAAAACAATTTTTTGCATTCTTGAAAATGTTATTAACTTATAACTCGATAAGAATAACTTATATTATGCGATAAATAGAATATTAAATGCGAAAAAAATGTTGAAATGCTTATAATTTTATAATCCTTTGATACAGATGGGACACCTCAGTTCCTTTTACATACTTTTTCTCACGTTCTAATTACAAGAAAAAATATTTTTGGGATTTTTTAATTTTTTAAAACAGTCTTTTAGTTACTAAAATAATCTGGCAGATTGTATTTGTACTAATATATGAAATCCAAAAAAAGGAGTCAGCAGTTTTTTTCATTCATATTCAAAAAAATTATACAATAATTAGTTTTGTGAATTTAAGACATTCCAAAGATAAGTAACTGTTTCTCTTACATCTGATGAACTGCAAGTAAATGTAAATAAATTTTTGGAAGTGGACCGTGTTTGAAGATTTTGCCTTTATCGCAGAAAATGACACCAGCGTTACATTGGTTTATCTTATAACAATAAATTATAGAAATGGTAAAAATAATATTTTGCACTTTCATTTACAGTTCTATAATTATATACCAAAATAGAATGAAATGGTTGCTGAGAATAAAAAATAACATATAAGTTGTTAATTTCGTTAAAATTAAGATCAAAATGAGACTTTTTCTATTATCAATTTATAAAAAAAACATATTAGCTTTAAATTTGTCTAAAAGTTTGGAGAAAAAAGTGTAAAAGTAAAAATTTTTTTTGACCTTTTTCTCAAATAAATATAATTCAATGAAACTCAAAATCGGACAACTTAATTTAAAAACTATCTTTCAACATTTAGTAAATTATTGCGACTATTTATCCGTCGTGAAATTCGTTGGAAATGGTCCTGAAACTGGTTAGTTGAATACATAGTGTTATTAGTTGAATACATTAGTTGAATACATAGTGTAACAAATTTTAAAGAATATTTTTAAACATCTAAAACTGTTATAATGTGCCAAAAGGAAACTAAACAGACGATTTTATTTCAGTTTCCTTAATTTGCAATTTTCTTAGAGCTACTTTAAGTGTAGACATTAATGATTTTAGACTTGACTGCTCTTCAACTGTTTAAACTAAAGGGAAAGTTTTCTAAGTATTTCATGAGTAGTGGACAAAATTTAGCTAAGAGGTTTCTAAGATTACTTCATGCTTCAAGAAACTGTAAACTAAGATTGCATTATAAAGTTTGTTGTATCTTACTTTCATTACTTCATTAGCGATAACATTGAAACCTATTATGTTTTTTAACAATAAATTTTGATTCCATAAATAATACATCATATATCCTATAGATTGAATTGTTTAAACATTTAAAGTAACACGTTTTAAGGATATTAATAGTAATAAAGAGGGAATTATCTAAGATTTAAATTATAAATAACTGCGAAAAAGCGAATCTATGTGAAAATACAATTTTTTTTAATTTCTTGCATGCAGTTTATAGTTAGCTATGTGATTCAATCCTATTTTGCAATTATCGAGTTCTTTCGCAAATTGAATCTTACTAGCGAAATACAAATGATGAATATAACGATTCACTGGTATGGTGAATTATTTAAGCAATTAAGCTACTTTTATAGTAATAGTGTCCCATTTTTAAAGTAAATAATGGTGGAATAATCTATGATTAAACTATTTATTTTATAATAGCAACCTATTAGTAAACTAGGATGAAATAATTCATTTTCTTTACCTCATGATGAGCATTTAGTATATTTTGGATACTCATTATACGATCATTAACTTTTTTTAGTATAAGATGTTGATTTTATGAATGATACATTCTAACAAACATTAGTTGATTTGTAAAAATGCATAAAAATACATATTACAATAGATTAAAATACAATTTGATATTATATTAATAAGTATAGCATTGATTTGATGGTAATCAAATTAAAATGATTCCAAAACTATGAAAATCATATTAAAATTTTGTAAAATATTCTTCGTATAATTGTACTTATCTTTCATAGTGGAGAAATAGGATTCGAGCACCAGTGGTGGCTTAGAACCCATCCAGTTTCATATTGATAGGTAAATTTTGTATTGAAGTAAAGGTGGTTTTTGCGCAATTCAGACCACGGCGCCACAATCATGCCATTGGTCACGAAATAGTGGAGGTCTAACCTCAATGATTTTCCACTGGCCTACAATAGGCTTTAACGTCGATGCTATATTTTATTTTTCTATTGCATCAAAAATGCTAAATTATCTGTTTCTGAACTGTAAAAACACGATTTAGAATTAATGTAATGAAGTTATAATAAGTCGTTTCAATTTTAAATGTACATTACAATGCAATTTTAAATTTAAATGACATTTTCTAAGAACAAATTCAATTACTTCGTAATACATTATGTATCTAAAATCATGTTTCAAACTTAAACGATTGAATCTTTAGCATTAAACATTTTAAATGATAAATGTAATTATTTATGTTTCATTAAATTACTAAAAAACAACTAAATAATTAATGAAAGAACATAATTAAAATTACATAAAAATATTGCTTTTTTCATTAATATGCAACAATTTTATATTCGATTCAAAACGTTTAGTGAAACATATTAAAAATTAAACATAAAGTTATGAAATTGAGTTTCGAAAGACAAAAATCTATACATAAAATATAGTTTCGATTTTTTTATACATCGAATAACGCTTATTGATAATAAATAAAAATTATCAAATAATATGAAAACAAAATTACTTAAAATATGAAACGATTTAAATACATTAAATATATTTAAATGCATATTAAATGATGAGATATTAACATCAAGATGGGATATTTAAAGACTTTCTATTTTTTACAAGCAAACCATTAAAGGATGAAAATTAAATAGCTTTCAGGTTTTACCTATGTCTGGTCGATACGTGATGATATAAGATGTGATTGGATTATTCCCTGGGTGTCCTGGTGTCCATGATAAACTAATGGAATTACTGGTTACTTCTAATGGTTTGAGATCTTGTGGTGGATCTGGTGGCTCTGAAAATTTTTAAAAGAGAAATATAAATGAAAACACTGGGAAAACGTTAATAGATCTCCTCACTAAATTGGGGGGTGATATTGATATTGAGAAATGTTTTAACCTGTTCAAGGTGGCTGCAAAATGCTATAACACTAAAGAAACAGGAATTAATTTCAATCGTTTGGTAAAACGATTTCACTCTCACTATTCCTGTTATCGGCATTTTCTATAATAGCAGACGATTGTTGCTTAAAGCAAAACATTTAGAATAAATTTTAAGATGGAATCGAAGGGTGGATGGTTAAACAGTTTTTCGATCTTGGATTTTCTTCAAGTAGAATCCTTAAGCAATTAAAATCTTTTGCGTTTAATGGAACATTTATATACAGAACCACAAATTGATTATAGGATATTAATAGCTGTAAAGATTGGCCCAGGTTTGGTCGTCCACGCTCAGTTCGTACAAAAAAAGCGCATTAAAAGAATTCGTGAAAAAATTCGAGGAAATTCACTGTTCTCTGCTAATAAAATAGCTGCAGAAGAGAACGTGACTTGAAAAAAAATGAAAGTTACATTAAATAAAGACCTGGGTTTTCGCCCTTGTCGCAAAATAAAAGTTCAGGGTTTGACAACTGCTTAAAAATTAAAAAGGTAACGAAGATGCAAGAAATTGCTGAACCGTCACGGTAACAAAAGTGCTGACAGAATAGTCTTTTCTGAAGAGAAAATATTTTGCACTGAACAAAGTTATAATGCTAAAAATAATGCTGCATATTCAGCAAGCTTCGGAGCTATACCTGAAAGTGTAAGAATTGTTCAACGCTTTCAGTACAAGAATTTTGTAATGACTTCCGCTGCAGTGTCAAATAATGAGAAATTTCCTCAAAAATTCATCAAAAACGGGGTAAAACTCAATGCTGGATATTACTAAAATGAATTACTGGATACACATTTATTACCAGATGCTGACAGATTGTATTCCAAAAAGGATTGGGTATTTCAATTCTGCACCGTCACACCGATTCAAAACAACACAGGCTTGGCTCCATGATAATTATTTGAAATTTTTTAAGCAAGAAGATTGGCCCCCTTATTCACCAGATCTAAATCCTTTAGACTTTTGTGTTTAGGGTATTCCGTTAAGTTAATGCTAAGTAGCAGAGAAGTTTAGACTCTTTCAAAGCTTCTTTGGTACGTAAATGGGACAAAGAACCTCTTAAAATGATTCGCGCCGCCATCGGGCTATGGCGTAAGAGATTATCTTTAGTAATCGATAAAGATGGTGTCGAAATGAATATATTTTTAAGGTAAAATTCCGTTTATAGTGTTCATCATATTGGTGTATTTATCATTTTCTATTTAATATCTGTACAACAAAATGATTCGATATTTGTAACAATATTTTGCAGCCACCCAGTAAACTTAAAAACATTATGAGATTAAAACATGTAAACATAGAAGTTTTTCTTCCTTAGGTGACTATTAAAATACCTAAGAGACTTTCCTACAATTCGAAATACTTAAGTACATAAACCTCTATATTCTTAGATTAAATTCATTTCAGAGTTCTGACGTTAAATATCTTCAGTGGTGGACGGATGGAGGGTTAGTTGATCTAATCTTGGGGGGTTTCTATGGTTTTCCTCTACATGAAATGCAAATGCGGGTTTGTTCAATCAAAAAGTCCTCGACGAAGGCTAGTTTGTCACAACGCGTGGTCCATGAGCTTCTTTTTTTCAGTGTAGAGTTCACAAAAACTAGGATACGAGATTGAACAATGATAGTTTTAAATTCAGAATTAGGTTAGCTGTTCGACGCCGGTTATAAAATTAAATAATTTGCTTTGAATTCTTTTAAATTATTATTTAAATTTATTTTCTGTATTTTAATTTCTATAATCAACTTTTTGTAAATTTAAACAAAATATATTTTTTTTTAATTGAATGCATTCTTTTTAATTTAATAGGCATCAAAAGCTATGTAATTTCAGTAGCAACAAGAATATTGATTTTACTAATATTTTTTTTTTAATGATTATTGAAAAAACTCTTTTTTTTATGATTCCAATTTAAAACTAATTTATCTTAGCTAGAAACTTTATAGAGTATGATATCACTATAGAAGAGACACGATGAAGGAACATATGCTAAAGTTTGTTGATAATATAAAGCAATTAATCAAGTCTTTCATGATTTATTTCTCAAAGAGGCTAAGAGAAACCATTAATTATGCCAAGGCTCGGATAAGCTCTTCTTAAATTAAATAAATGTTCAAAGCGAAGATAAAGTAAATCAGTTTTCATTTGGTAATTGCTAAACGTTTTCTGGCATATATATTGATAATTTTGAGTACGATTATTTTACACTGACTTTTTCAGAACATTCCTTATAAAATTTACAAAAAAGAAATTGAGTTCTAAATTAAATCTTAATTTAATGACAATGAATCTGTTTGGATAGTATTTAAATTCTAGATCCTACCACTTATAACATTTTTGAACATTTTATTATATTTTCTCAGTTGCTTTCAATCTATTGTGATTGAAATAAATGGAGCTTTAGCTTTCACATAATGAAATTGAAGTTCTGTTATTTTATTGTTTCTGGTAAATTTGAATACATTTGATTATGTTGGAAGTAAAACTTTATGACATTAACTATACTTATCCATATACTTTTGGCTCCAGTAACAAATTCAAATGCGTCATCACCCTGGATAATGGTTGATTTAATATTTGGAAAACTGCTTAGTAGCAATTTTAATAATTCAAAAAAAGCACTTCATATATTTCAATGAACTTAATCCAGGGGATGATTTTAGCCACAAATTCATAAGCAAAGGTGTTTTGTGAATGAAGATATTTTTTGTTACAAAGAATTTTATTATTTATTTTCATATACTTTAGTACTTTTGACCTATAACTGAATTATTTAGCCCGAATCTATAAATAAAGTTAGAAACAAAATCTGCAAAATATTTGTGCAATAAAACAATTGACGAAAAAGCGCAAAATATAATTTTAATTGTTAATGCAATATAATCTTAGTTGTTAATATAATATAATTTTATGTGTTAATATAATATAATCTTAATTGTAATTATAATATAATTTTAAGTGTTAATATAATATAATTTTAATTGCTAATAGAATATAATTTTAATTGTTAATGGAATATAATTTAAATTGTTCATAGAATATAATTTCAATTGCTAATATAATATAATTTTAATTCTGTCATTCAGTTCAAGATTTTTTTGTAACATTTAAGGACTATTACATTTATATTCATTAAAATTATTTTAATGCCTTAGCGTGCCCTAATTTAGTTTAAAACATATGTGTATTCATTTTTATAATTTCGCATTCTTCATATTTCGTAAGAATTCTATAAGCCTAAAACATTACAACAGTTAAACGTCAATTACAAATGATATTTCTTAATTTAAACTTTTAAAATATTTTTTTTATAAATTATCAAGTGTACATATTGATTTCTTTACAAAGTTGACTGGGGCTTTTAACCCTTTAAGAACAGGGTATAAATCAATGTTTATAAAGCAAGGATTTCTTAATGAAAGCAACTATCCCGAATTCCATGAATACTTTGTAAATACCGTCTGCCGAGAGAAAAAATTACGACCTCCAATTACGCAATCTTTCGAACCTTCTAGACGATCCCAGGCTGCTAAACTTTATTTTTAATTAGAATAACGCTCCTTTCAGCGTTGCACAGATAACATCAAAAGGCGTAACTCTTGGTGCAGAAATAATTAGTTTTCCCAACCAGTCAACCAGTGACGATAAAAATTGAACTTTCAGCAGTTTTCAGCGCAGATAAATGTCGCCGAAAAGAAACCTTAAGAGTTTTTGAAAATCTACGAGTTTTCTCGTATCCAGAGAAAAGAAACATTGTTATCTTTCATTTGCCTTCGATGAGAGAGCATTTTTGTCAAACAATGAAACTGTTTTGAATTGGAGTCTGTGTATTTATCAAAGCTTTTGTTTGTACTTGTGTTTGGTATTGTTTCTTTAAACGCAAAAGAGGACAACGACTTTGTTGTGTGATTTACCATAATCAAAGTATTTTTTTTTCACAACTAAAAGAAAATTGCGTTTATTTGAAATTTATATTTATTTTTAGCATTATTATTTTATATTAATTGAGGCAATTAAATCCTGTACATTATTTAACATAGATATTACAAGAACTAGCTAATTATTTTTTTAACTACATAAATGGAAGTAGTGTGAGTATTTTTTAAATTTTTATTATTAATTAACGAGATTATAAAATATTTACTTATGATATAATAATCTTTTATAACGGTGACCGCTGATTTCAGAGTCTTTAAGAAACTCATACGCTGTTTTAACACTTTCAGAATTAGAATTCTCACTTTTGAGGATTCCGCGTTTCTTGAGTGGTATTTTGAAAATCATTTCGTTTTGAAATCACGAGATTTTTCACAAAAAGCGATTTCCCAAGTACATGATGAAAATGTTTCCTCAACTAAACACCTCATCGTAGTGCATTGTGAAAGATAGTTAACTAGTAGGATGAAACTAGACTACAGACTAGATGATCGAAAATAAAGCCGAAAGGCCCCTATGGTTGTCAAGGAGTTGGTCTCGGACCAGGAAGATCACGGGTTCGAATCCCTCTTCAGGTATGGGAGTAAATTATCTCTCTGTTCTATTTGTCCTTACTGTGCCATTTGGGTGACATATAATTGTGTTGGGCGACATTTATTAAGGACTCCTATTTTTTTCTATTTTCTCTATTTTTTTTTTAAAGTAGAATGATGAACTATTAAATCTTTAATTTTGGCGAAACTTGTTCCCTCAAAGAATATATATATTTCATCGATGTATATTTCATCGACGATATATATTTCATCACTTTGCCAAATTTTTTTCTCGGAGTATATTCCATAAAACGGTTTCGTCAGAAACGAAGAAAGCTTCGTGATATTTTGAGTATCTATTTTTTATGGTGAATGGATTGGCGTTTCCTTCAGAAGTGGTTTGAAATCCACCAAGCTTTAAATTGAGGAATACCAACTTGTATGGAAGTAAACAAAAGCCAGTACTCAATGCTGACCGCATTGCTACCACAGTGCCAGTCCCGAAATTCATAACCCTTGACTCCTATGCTCCCAGAAACAACAAACTGGCTGTTGTGAAAGTGTTTTAACTATCGAGAGTAAAATAAAGCATCAATAGTTTAGAATAATAGATTTGCAAAAAATTCGGGTTTTAAGAAACAAATACAACTATCAAATACACTTATAGACAAAAAAATGAGCGCACCAAGAAAGAATCGTCAAAACGAAACGAAATTTCACATACGCAATGACTACTTTGATATAAGTAAATGATTAGAGAATCAAAGAAAAATGATGATCTTTGATTTTCTAATCATTTACTTACATCAAAGTAGTCATTACGTATGTTAAATTTTGTTTCATTTTGACGACTCTTCCTTGGTGAGCTAATTTTTTTTAATCATGAGCGTACAATAAAATGTATTATAAATTGTCTGAATATGAATAAAAAAGAAAAGAAAATATCTTGGAGATTAAAATTTTTTAGCGGTTTTCTTTCATAAGCTACAAAAACTTCTAAGAGAAGCTTTCAGGAATAAATAGGATCTAAAATTGATTTGTTAATCCTGTCAATATTTAAATAAACTTAAATGCACGATAAAACCTTTTTCAATTTAACATAGCAAATCTAATGATTTATGAAATTTTACTTAATTTATATTATTTCGTGTAAAATTTTTAATGCGTTGAAAATGATTAATTGAAATTTTAAAAATAAATTAATCATTTGAAAAATTTAATAGGAGTACGTTTTATTTTTACTCGACAGATGACTGATATTAATTTCCATTTATTTTCTAAGGAAATTTAATTCGGTTTTATATATTGCATTTTTAATTAAGTCTTTTATGAAATTTCAAGTTGAAATCAAACTTTCATTGAGGAGTATAGATACGAATGTAGTAGTAGAGAATAGTTATATATTTTGATTTGCTAGTTATAGAAATAAATGGCAAAAAATATTAAGTATAAAACACATTAAAGAATAAAAATATTCGATTCTATTTGCAATTACCTTACACACGAGAGATTAATAATAATAATTGAAAGTATTTTATATAAACATAAAAAAGTAATTATATCTTAGTAAAGCAGATAAATGTAATAATAATTTTCTAAAAGTCTATTCTCTTAAACACGATTTTACTCAAAATGCGAATCATACAAGAATATTATAATGATAAAACGAAGACATACAAGAAAAATATAATGTTTTTTATAACAGATTGTTCTATGAGGGTGATTTTTTTTTTTACATATTCCGGTTAAAAATTTCATCTCTTGCTATTCGAATAGCACCTGTAAATGCATAAACTTGATTGTCACTGGTTTTATTTGCTCATGTTTACTTTTTGGTTACAATAATTATAATATATGTATGCCAAATGTAACGATTTTTTTTTTGGGGGGGGGGTTGGAAATTGTTGTACGTAATAAAGAATAGGAAAAAAAAATAGTAATGAACCAAAACTTTCAAAATGCTTAAGTCCATAAACCTATTCTCTATATAAGTTATAAAGTAACACTTTACTGAGAGAAATGCATATCTGATTTGATTTAGGTGGTTAATTGCAATTTTTACAGGGTATGATGCCAATTTTGTCTAATTTCACATCTTTGCAGTATAATATGTACAATCAAAACTATTATTTATAAACGTATTCATTAATTAAAAAGTAAGTTTTATTTGTTAATAAATTTACTTAAATTTTATTAGAAAACAAGCTCACATATTTTTTTTTGATTTTAAGTAATCGTACGGGTAGGGGCAATTTAATAATTGCTCACATTTTAAAATTACTAGAATACGAAATCCCTTATAGTTCTATGTGACGAAGAGTAAAAAATATTTCTTTAGAAATAATAATAAGGAATAGTTACGTGTAGAGCTGACAGATTATGAAAATTTTAGCTAGCACAATAGTGATCTAAGATCCACTTTTTCTTTTAATTTCAAGATTTTATTATCATTTTTTGACGAAACTAAAATATATCTTTTAATTTTATTTTCGTCATAAAATACTTCTGTATGTGAGTATATTGCTGTATATATGCATGAAGTTTTGCTTAAACCCATAAGTTATCTACAGAGGGCAATGAAGAATCTACTTTAAATAAATTGTTTTCAAAAAAAATGTTTAGAAGTTTCATCATTATTATTTTTTGTAGTGTAAGATTCGAAGGTAATTGCTAGTAATTATTACTGCAGAAAAACATTACTCATTGCTTTTAAAATTAAAATTATAATTATAAAGAATTAATTATCATACTTACCTTGTACAACTAATCTTACAGTTGTTTTATCTTCCCCGAAAGGATTTGATGCAGAGCACGTAAATACGTCCGAATCCTTTCGTTGGCTGGATTTTATGATTACTTCTGAAATTTTGGCACCTCTACCATCGCTTTCTCGAGTGATGTATCTAAAATGTGTTTAAAATTCATTTAATCCTCATTATATTAATTTCAATTAGAACAGAAAAATTGTTTATTTGCAAACCTTAAAAAACTAAGCATATTTCTAGATTTTTCTCTTAAATTTATTATTATCTTCTCTTAGTTTCGAAAACATTTCTTCAGTTTCATACGATGAAGCATGTTTCTTCAATTTGTCAAATGTTCATTTAATTAATGACGTTTCCTAAAGCATTGAAATTATGGTGAAGATTATAAAATCAGTCTTCATTTTTGCATACAATTCCGTTTTTCTAGCCTCAATCTCAAATTTATTTCTTCCTTCTTTATCCTGTGTTTGTGCGAATTTGCCATAAATATATTTTACAAAACGATGTGTTTATTAAGAGATTGAAATAAGTATACATAAAATTATATTTATTGTACACTGGTAGAAATTTCTCGGAAAAAATGGATCAATGGGATTTTAATGGGATTCAAAATGGAATTTTATTTCACTGTTATTTTACCATTTTCAAACAAAACAGTGATATTTAAACAAGATGGTATTTAAACTGTTAACTGTGAGAGAAACCGTTTATTAACTGTTTTCCGTTGGCCATGGTACTGGCCTTTGGCTCAACATCTCAGTGATCACCTTGGAACAACTTTCCTCTTACAGCTTCAATTGACTTTCTTCCCACATGTCTCACAGCAATCTGCTCTGCGAAAGGTGGTTATACTGATTCTTCACAGATGGTAGCATTAATGCGACTTGATTGTGTACATAAACTAAAACACTTAGTCGGAACACTAAAAAAACACGAAGTCGGAATCCACAAATTGATTGTAATTTATATTTTTCGTAACTACAACCTTGTAGATACTGATTGTGGACAATGTACAGTGCTTCCCACTAGATGAAAAAGGAACACCATGAATAACATTTGACGTAGTGATCGGATCTTCATGTACTAGGACTCAATCTTAATATTATAAAGATGTGAAAATCGCAAATTCACAATCCGATTTCTCTCAAACTATTCGACCAATTTCATAAAAATTTTGTATTTTGCATTTAAAATTACATTCTTAAATATGGAGTAAAAATTTTTTACACATTACCACTCAAATTTTTCGATTACCATTAAATAAAATAATAAAATAATATTAAATTATTCTTATTTAAAGGTTTTTTTTTCGGATAGAATTATCTTTAGAAAAACGAACTTTATAATTGATTACGAAAATTTTTCGATTCGTTTATATTCTCGAGATGTGGCATCAAAGTAATATCAACAATTAGGATTCCAAACTCTTAACCACTCGTCTAGTTAGATTACATTTCCTTGCTACTATTTTGAAGGTAAGAAATCAAAATGTGTCGAAAAAAAAGTATTCTTATTCAAAGAAAGAACGTTTTTATGTCAGATTTTGTTTCTTAAAGTATCGCCTGTACCAATTAGTTAGCTTATTTCAGGGTTAACTCATAGTTGACACAGTTGATAGTAGTCATGAGTACACGTACTAGGGAGCTTGAAGATCCGTATACTAGATTAAAAGTTATTCAAAGTATTCTGTTATTTCTTGTTGCCTTCCAACCCCCAAAAAATCTTGGATAGTACTACTTTTGTGGATAATTGCTTAGGAGGGATCACAAACAGCTGTACAATGCTGAAGAAGTAATTGTGGCTGGATTTCATGTTAAATAAAGTATAGCAAATATAGTAAATAAAATACAGTAAATAAAATTCAGTATATAAATATAGTAAATAAAATATAGTAATAAAAATAACTTGTTGTGCTCCAAATTCTATAAGGCATTGGAGAAATCTCAAGAGACTTCATGATAATTTTGAGTTTAAAACGTGAAAGTGAAAACTAAAACTCTCGCTGATAGGTATAAGATTAAGATGTCAATACTGGATATGGACAGCATAGATAAGAATTCAAATTTTAAGTGTTACAATAGAAAGAAATTTATACACGAGTAATTTAATAATATAGCTTCATGGAACTAACAGATTTCGATCGGATTCCTTTCAGATAATCATGCTAAAAATATTTGGAGGGACGCTTAAAATACAGAAATGATTTAGTTCAAACTGTAGTCACATGTTTCAATTCAACCTTTAGCTTTATTGTTCCTTCAACAGAGCAAGTGCAAGTGACAGGAGATATGATCCACTGGCTGAAGACCGAATGTATTTTCAAAGCAAATATTCCTTCATTTTACATTTAAAGCGATGCTTTAACGACGAATAATATTATGACAAAACGTATTTCTTTGTTTCAAAGCTCTAATCTTTAGTGCTTATAATATTTAATAATATTGTGTGAAAACGAATAAAACAAAAGAAGAAGAATTTATTCATGTGTCACTAGAGCAATTTTTATTGCTATAGTTTGACTTTAAATAAAGAATTTTAAAACATAATAGTAAATAGCGTAGTTAACTGATTGTGAACTTAAAAAGTGTAACTGCAGCCTGTACACCCAATTAATAAGATTTTGACTGACATTGCAGTTGTATTATGTTAAACTTTTTTTATGCTTACACTGAAGTTAGTTTGTGGTTAAGTTGTGTTTTGTCAAATTAACCTTAAAATGTGCCATAATAAGTTAATTTAGAGCTGCCATCTATGCATGAATGAAAGTTTCGAGATTAAACTCCTGATATAACAGTGTAGTAGAACCTAAATTACCAGCACTCAGTCATACATTGCACTCGTTTACCGAAATGCTCTCCAGACTTCTGATCAAGCATATTTAGATAAACTTATTGATTTATTGTTCTAAAGATCGTGATTTTGCGCCTATAATATTGGTAAACTGCGCTACCGGATCACGAGTCATTAGTCGCATAATTACTACTCTTGAGACTTTATTTGCAGGAGAATGAAATGTGATATGTAATTCAAAATCCACATAACTGCGAAAAGCTATGTACAATTCAGAAATAGCATCAATAAAATTCCATTACGTAATTCAACTAGCTCACGAAAATGCAATTTTGATGTGTGAGTCTCAAAATGGAATTACTTTTTAGAGAAAGACATTAAAATTATTTTTCTAAATATGAAGCCTTGGTTAATTTTAAACTCGTTCTTTTTTAATGGGCCTATTAAATATGTTCAATTTTTATACCAAATATTTTTTTAAAAACTTGGACTATAAGCAAGTGGGGGTTGATTTGATACAATATATATATATATATATTAGATAAGTTCAAAATAAAGATGAAACAAAGGAAAATTGTAGACATATGAAAAAGAGGGGGGGGGATGACAATAATAAAAAAATAACAGACAACTTATTAAAAAAAAAAAAGGATGACATTTTTTTAAAAAAACCGGAAAATAAAAGATTTAATCTTTTCATCAGCCCACACGATTATATCCGCAAAAAAATCTCTCTTTTTTTGCGGATATAATCGTGTCGGCTGATGAAAAGATTACATATTTTATTTTCCGGTTTTTTTGAAAAATTTAATCTTTTTTTTTATTTTTTAAATCAGTTGTTTGTTATTTTTTTCAGTATTATTCCCCCCCTTTTTTTTTCTTCCTCTGTCTATATTTTTCCTTCGTTTTATCTTCATTTTGAACTTATATATATATATATATATATACGCACACATTAACATGACAAACATGAATAAAATAAAAACTAAATTGTAGAGAAACAAGAATGGTAAAAGCAAATAGTCGTTATCAAGACACATCTATTGCTATAAATGCGATATTTCTGAATAAAGAATAATTATCCTAAGATAAAAATTATTCTTTATATGTGTCGATATCGCAAAAAACCTTATGTTGTAAAAANTATATTTATATATATATTTAATAAAAAACACGAGTTAATACGAGTTAAACGAGAGTTAATATAAAATATTTTTATCGAAAACTTGTTTACCTGTTTTCTGGATATAAACTTAATGGAAATCCCTCGCGACTCCAAACAATATTCAATGGGGGATCTCCGGAGGCTGAACAAGAAAATCGTGCTTCTTCAGATTTTCTTACATGCACCACCTGTGTTGATGTTTGGATTTGAGGAGCAGCTACAAGAAAAAGAAGAAGGATATTGAAATGCCTTTTTTGACAGTTCAATTAAGTTTTTCGTTCAGTTAGTGAATTCAAGAAAATGCTAGCTTGAGGTACCATGTCGGATAGAAATGAAATTTAGTTCACCATATTTTAAATGAAACTATGTGAAGTTAGATGCAGAGGTCATTATAAATTCAAAAAATGCCATGTACTCTAACTAAATTTAGGGGACCTTTTCTTTCATTACGATACAGTTTTATTGATTTTCTATTTCATCAGGACATCAAAGTTATTTGTGATAAGGAACATGGAGAAATAAAGTATGATCAAAATTACCCAAATATGTTAAATTTTACAGTTTTTTTGGCTCTAAGGGTAAACCAAAATGATTGATAAATTTTTCAATAGCACTTTGGTATTGATTTTGGAAAAATTGAAACAAAAATATCGTTTTATAAAACGTGATAAAACTTGGTAAACGTACCAAAATTTGGTAATTTTATCATGATACTTCATATCATGGCTAGAAATCATTTATTTGGTAAATTTTACTTTTTGACTCTGTGTTTTTTACTAAATCCATGGTAATAACAACTATAATTTTAAAAGCAAAAATTTCCGATGAACCATTTAAGAAATAAAAAAAAAATATTAGTAACATAAATTAAGGCAGTAAATTTTTCTTTAAACCATAGCATACTAGAATGTGTTGCATCATCTAGTTTGGCTTTGCTTAAATGCTAAAATTTAAATATAAATTTTTTTTTAATGTAATGTGAATGAACGTAAAAACCGAAATGCACAGCAATTTAAGAATTCATTTGCTAAATGTTTGAGCTCTCATATGGTAAATTTCCCTTCCTCTCTAGCCTCTTTCTTATAGAGCAAAAACACGCGAAACGTTTGTCTTTTTAGATAAAGCATACTTTTAAACAAAAACAGAAAAAGAGTTACTCAGTCATAATTTCGAATAAAAAAATTAAGATTTTAAGTTTGGCCCTTTTAAAAATTTTGAAAAGAGAACACATTGGTTGTTTAATCAAATTTATTTTTGCTGCCTTCCAAAAGAAATATTTTCAACTTTTCTTCAAGTTTTCATCAACTTCAGTTTTTAACATTTATAGATTTTTATTTTTGGTTTCATAAAGAAAAATATTTCGATATTTCAGTTTTTTTATTAAATATATTCTTAAAGAAATATATTTTTAGCGAAGTTTTCTATGATCGAAAGTTATAATTTTGCACAACAATCATACTTAGAACTAAAAAACAAATATGTGGTGGTCTAAAACTTCACTCCAGAAGCAGAGAAGTAGGGTAAACTAACCAGTGAAGGAACACTTAAGCTTCGCTTTCCTTTTAAAAAATCATATTAATTTCAAAATTCGTAATTTCAGTTAAATGACAGTGTCAACATATTTGTTACTAATTGCAAATTATGCAAAAAAATTGCAGAGAACTTACATAATATTGTTTTAAAGTTTTGGAGGTTCAAATAACAAGTAGTAAGAAGACCCAGTGAAGGAACAGCTCTTACCAGTGAAGGAACACAAAATTGCCCAGTGAAGGAACACTTAATTTTGGTTATTTTTTAATGCTCTTTATGAATTTTTTAGCCATACAAATACAGTCGGACATCTATTTAACGAACTTCCATTCTACGAATTTCCCTATTTTACGAATTTTTTCGAGGAACCAAGAGCATTTTGGAAATTTTTTTGTAAAATAACTTCCATATAGCGAAGTGAATTTTCTATTTAACGAACTTTTCATTGAGATCCAATTTCCCTATTTTCCAAAATATTTCTTAACATTTTAAACTTGTTAAAGCAATTTATGGGGGAAATGACATTAAATTAATTTTCGAAGCCACTGCTTTATGAAATGTATTACTGTTTTGTCTAAAAATTATCTTAGAGAAAGCAGTAAATTCCCTTTCCCTTTTTGTTTGCACTTCAAACGAAAAACTCACTTCAAATTAACGGATTTCATCCGTAGCAATTTAACTTAACGCAAGTGGTAATGTATGTTTAAAATTACTTTTATAATAAATGCAACTATATTTTTATACATAAATTTAGACTTTTTTTAGTTGAAAATGTATATAGCATGATAGTGTAACACTGGATAATGTTTTGCTCTATTCTTGCTTTCCATGCAGATTTCTTTTATGGTTGAGATTTATATGATAAATAGTAGATACTAGTTTACAAGATAAAAGTGTATCAATTGCTATTTTAATTATGTCTAGTGTTTAAGAATTTAAAACCTGTTTTGTGTTGTTTAAGTATTTTAAGAGGTGATTTTCTATTTAACGAATTTTCCATATAACGAGCTTATTATTGGTATTAAGTGATTTTGTTAAATAGAGGTCCGACTAAAAACAAGACTATTTGTGAAATTATGAGATACAAGTACTTGTAAAATGCTAACTTTTTTCTGTAATCATGAACTAGAAATTAAAGTGATGTTAAATACAAAATAAATTTAAAAAAATCGTTCTTTCTTATAATTTGACAGTCAAATCTAAATCATTGTGTCATCCGATGCTGTTTATTATCATTATTATTTTATCACCTTTTTGTTTACTCTTTTTCCTCTTATTTCTTGAAGCTTTTTTTCTTTTTTAAGTATTTTTTCTTTCTTTTTCTTTTCCATGTTCTCTTGTTTTAATGTTTTTTAGATCTTTCAGCCTCTTGAAATTTTTGCCATTTCTCTGAAGTTAGTGCAAAAGGTAATTTATTCGCTTTTCTTCTTATTTGACCTTTCTTTTTATCATCAATATTTGGCCAATGTAAATGGCTCTTCCAAACTTCTTCTGATTTTTCAGCAACATTTCTAGAATGCCTTTCTCGAAAATAGACGGGGGAAAGGTGTCTTGAAGTTTGAGGCAAATCCATCTCTTGTTGACTTATATCTAGAGGATCTTTAGAAGTACTGATTTTACTTACAGAATCATTTCTTTTTTCAACTAAGAGAATCAGCATGAGGACTCATTTCAAATTCGATATCTAATATGCATTCATTATCAATACTAGCTTCAGTTCCTAAGTTTGACTTAACCAAGTGGTCTTCTTTTAATACGTGCTTCTTCCATATTGGAAAAAGTACAGGCTCTTGGACATTTTCGATATTAGACTCTTCCGTCAATGCTGTGTTAAAAATTTACAACATATCTTGAGGGATTTCCCTCTCAAGCTTCTGAAGAAATTGAGTATCGTTTCTGTTTAACTTTGTTTTTTGTTGAGGAACTTACTTCTAAATTCTAACATTGTAAAGTAGTTTCTATAAATTATATAATCACGTTGCTATCCTATAATGATAGCTTATTAGGAGTTCTTGGTGCAAAAGCCAGCGAAAAAATGTTCTATTTTTATGATTATATTTAATTAGTTTTCGATTTGTAAACATAGTTTATTAAGTTGCCTAACATTTGATGTAACTACACACCCCGTTAATAAATATAAATTATAATTTTTTCATAAATTAAGCTATTAAATTAACATTTTGAACTGAAATTATTTCAGGAATTATTCATACAATTTTTAACAAAATTTCGGTTGTCCTCTATATAGCAGAATTACTTATCCTAGAGTCATGTAAAATCATATATCACACATTACTGTTCATTCACTGGAAGTATTCCCAGTGTAGGAATATGCCTGTTTCTTCACTGGTTAGAAGCTGGTTTTTGTCTTTTAAACAGAATTTTGATGTATAATATGACTAAAAGTACAAGAAAATTACGAAATTTCTTTTATTTTCATTAACTGAGAAATGAACCCAGTAAAGAAACATTTGTTCCTTCACTGGTTTTTCATCGTTTGGTGATCCAGTGAAGGAACATGCCTGTTCCTTCACTGGTTGGAAGTTGTTTTTTGTCTTTTAAACAGAATTTTGATGTATAATATGACTAAAAGTACAAGAAAATTAAAAAATTTCTTTTATTTTCATTAACTGGGAGAAAAACCCAGTAAAGGAACACTTGTTCCTTCACTGGTTTTTCATCGTTTGGTGATCCAGTGAATAAACACCCCCTTATCTCAGTACTTGATTATGCTATGGTGCTTTAAAAAAAATAAAACGTAACTTCAATAACTATATTTTGAATTCTCTTTTTCACAGTGAGAAAAATAAGACTACTACATGCAATTAATTCCACTTCAAACATATAAGTACAAACACTCACCTTATAATTTTTTCAACGAAACAAGGTGTTGCAGAGATAATAACAAATTCAAAAATTTTTTCAGAGAAATCTATTTGACCAGGTAATCCAAAATATTGCTAGATGACTTCCTATTGTTTGGCAGTAAGCTATTGTTACCAATCAATCTAAAGAAAAACTTTCAAATTCTTATTTTTAATCAATATATATGAAATGTTCCTTCACTGGGTAGTGTTCTTTCACTGGTTGGTTTACCCTACATGGATTATTAATATTTATGTTGTTGTTTCCAATGCCATTTGCCAATATCAACAAGTCTGTTTGGTTAAACCAAGCAAATTTAAGACACAGGGTACGTTTCTCGCTTCTCAGTGGCGCCATCTATGGCCAAGAATGCGACTTCAGCCACACACACTCGTCTTAACCCATTTTAAAGGGCGGGCCCATACATATGTACATCCTAATCATTTATCCACAGATCGTAATTTTGACCTGAGCCAGAGAGCGATCAATCTGCAATTCAGTACCCCAAGACGTATAGTTTGTTATGAAAAATGGAGAATTTTGTGACCCGACAGATTTAACTTGCACCAGTCACCATGAACAAGGGGAGTTTTCGGCCGGCTGGGATCAGATTCACGACTTTTTGGGCCAAGGCCTAATGCCCTACCCATCCATAATATTAATAAATAACAAATAGAAGTTTCGTTTATTAATTAGTAAAATCTTTATAAGAAGTAAAATCAATACAAAATTTGAGGAAGGAATACACACATAATAACTAGAAATAGAAACCATTGTAAATATTTCAAATTCTGTATGAAATGTAAATCGAAATGCCTCACA